CTGAACCACCCACTTGCAGCCCTGAGACATCCAAACTCAATTATACAAAGCCATTCCCAACAGATGACCACACATTTGGTCCACGTGATTTTTTTCAATCATCACCCTACAGTCTCCACAGCCCAGCAAGAATTCTTAGCGAACAGCCAGAGACCGGAAGGCAGGGGCCACCAACCCCACAACGCAGCTAAACTCTTCAGGCTTGACTACGGTACAGTTATAGGGAACAAAGGTCCCCAGGTCCCCATCAGAGGTTCCCTAACAGCAATCAACATCTTCTCTTCTATCAGGGTACTGCAAAGCCCCTCCTTGCCCTACAGAAGAGAGATTTATAGAAGGGAGCAGCCCATAAAATGGGAAGTTCAACACCACCCTCCATTACTCTCAAACACTGACCCTCATCTCGGATTCACGAGGAATCTGACATCCCATTTAATTTTTTTTCCCTCCCTCCCTGTCTCTCAGCTGCCACCTCTTGAGAGAGGAAGCCTAACAGCGACAGCTGTGTGCTGTCAACCTTGCTGTACCACGGCGGCCTTCGAAGCAAAGGGCTAAGCTGTATCTACAGCCCGGGGCGCCGAAGGCGGCTGCGGCAGATTGCCCGCGGCGTGGCAGCTGGCAGGAGGAGGTCAGCCTGCCCGTGCCTGCCAGAGCAGCCCCCACGGCAGGCAGCGGGGAGCAGTCGGCCGGCAGCACACACGCCTCGCCTTCCCGGGATCGTCATCAGGTGCGGTCTTTCGCACTGCCGCATTTGTGAGATGAACATCTGGAATGAGGCAGAGATAAGGATCAAAGACAACAGACACTGAACAAGCAAACACGGAATTCTCACTCTAAACAGTCCTGGTCTGCCCCAGTGCCAATTAATTCTCTTCCCTGTCTCTAATCACAGGCTTCAGCCAGCTGAGCTTAAATCCGATACTGCAAGATCACATCTTACTAAAAATTGCAGGAAAAAGTTAAAAATTGGAAGTAATCAACAGCAGTATCTGGAAAATGAAAGAGTGACTGGCCTGAGCGAGTTCTGTGCCTCATGGCTGGCACGAAGCTCTTTATGTCAGCACGTCTCCAACCTCAGCGCACCTTGCTGTACCCCCCCTCTGGAAAGGCTTTTGATCATTCAGAGCAAGCATGAACGCTGCTGAACTTCCACAGAGAGAAGTGGTGGATTTTGCTGTCTGCCAAGCCATCAGACTGAGGTGGGATACCTTTCGGGAAGACGTGCCAATCAAATGAAAGCTATCCAGCTCAGTACAGCAAGCGTGACACACGGGAAATCAGACCGCTCCCTCCATGAATCAGCCTGTCCGTACGTTCTGTGAAGCGCAGGGAGAAGAGAGGCTGCCAACATTCAACCACGAACAATAAAACCAGGACTGACATTTCAGCTTCGGTCCTGGCTGATTTGTCAAACTGACGTTTCCAGTGATCCGGTGACACCAGTTTCCCAATGAAAAAAGACAGGAGAGAGACAGGGTGACAGTGGCAGCACAGGAGAGCCGAATCCTGTAGGTGTTTGCAGGAGTCCGAAGTGACAAGGCTCATCTGATGCATCTAATACCAAGCAGTAGAATTGTGCCTTCCTTTTCTTACCCTTCTTTGCGGCACACACAGACAGGTAGGATACAGCGATCACCTCTGCTATTCAGAGTAAATCGTGTATTTGAAATGTGAGCAAAGCCACCTCTGGATAACCAGGCCTTCAGTGGGATGTACTGGGAGAAGAGGAAAGGAGCAACTGGGCCTTAAGGCAAGGAAATCCATTTCTGACATAATAATGATGGTTTGCACTTACAGGTGTCACTAGAACATGAACTCTCAAGTCAGACTGTCAACCTGTGAAGCACAGAGAGAGGTGTAACATGGCTATCACCCAGCTGCTGGTACTGCTGCCTCGCGTTAGGCGTACCTCAGGTCGGAAGTCTGTATACAAATATGCACACAAAGTGTCAGAAGTTCCATCCCAGAGACAGTATCCAACCATTTGGGAAAAGTCACGATAAGAAACTTTATTGTTGCCCTGGGGCATGGTGAAGGAGCAGTGCATGAGACAGGCACTGGAGAACAGAACAAGTCACCCGCAGAAGGAGAGGATGAAATGAGAGCAAAAGAACAAAATGCCCTTTGGGTGTTCCCCGAGGAGGAGACAGAGTCGTTGGCACCTCTTCCAATCCAGGATACCCTTCAGTTTTTGGAACAGGAAAATTCCTTCATCCTGTCACCTGCCAACACACAGATGGAAGCTCAGTTACTGGCTGAACATCAGCATTTCCTGCAGTCGCCCAGAATTTCAGTGCAGAAGCCCTGCATAACCTGATTTGTTTGATCTGTTTGTAGTCAAGCACGTTTATCTCAGGTTACGGGGGCAGGGGGATCCAACAACAGCCCTCCAGTGCAAAAAGCTCCGATCTGTAAGCACCCGGAGGATTCCTGGAGGAAAGGGCAGAGCGGGCAGCCAGCCCGTGGGGAAGTTCCGCAGCACCCAATAAACAAACTCTGTCACACGCTTGCAGAAATGCAAGTAACGCAACATATGTTGTCGGGAATTCTAAGTCACATTTTAAATTTGTGTATGTTGCAGAAGAACTTAATTAAACAGGAAAGTCAGGAAAGATGTCAGAGAACTACGGCAGGCAAGAGCAGAACAATCCTGCAGCCAGCCTAGGCTGTGCGATGTCGTGGAAGTGGGTGCCGAGGGCCCAGGTAAGCCGCTCCAGCAGCAAGGCTCCCCGGGCAGCATCCCAAGGAGGTCCAGGCTCCTGCGCCCCAGGACGCAGCTCTGCACACGTCCTGACCTGCGACTGCATCTGCGCGTGGGAGCAGGCAACCCGGGACGTCGCAGCACGGGGCTGCTCGAGAGCGCAGACCGGCAGAAGGAGTAACATGGGGTTTATTTTTACTTGTCTGTGAGTTCTGAGGTCAGCCACAAACTGTTTCATTGAAGTTGTTGCTATAATCTCCGTAATCACAGGCTTTTCGTACATCCTTGTTTAATGTGTTCTGGTGATTTACCATGTTAATTGAGGCTGTGGGCAAAAAATCTGCTTAATATAAGGTTTTTTGTTGCCAATTAACACATTCCCATTTGCAGAGTTAGATAATCACTAGCTGCTATCCTCCTGGCTGTAATTCTTATGTTTGTTTGCATAATTACCTCCCAGTCACTTCTCACAAGCGTGCCCTTAGCGACGGGCCTGACTCGCGGGGTAAGGCGAATCCTCCTGTCCCAGCCTCCTCGCCAGAGCTGCTGCGCCAAGCGACTGCTCGCTCGCAGGTCTCACAGCCAGCTGTATTTTTAGTTTTGCGCCACAGCACGGTACTCGTGGTGTTAAACGGCTCGAACCATCCGGCAGAAGCAAGGCGTTCCTCAGCGTCACGTTGCACTGCGTCTTTCTAAAGGACGCACAGCTCTTCCTCGGTCCCAGGACGCTGGCTGAAGTGGAAGTTGCTGCATTCAGCACAGCTCCAGGTAGTCAGAGGTCTGGGGGCACAAACGTGATTCCAAGCACGAGGCTGCCCTTTGGGTCTCCAACCACACAGCAGGGAGAAGCTAACGCCAACCAAATCCAGCCCAGGTTGCGCTCCAGGCTGCGCATGGAGTCTCCCGTCATCTCTTCACGTTCTCAGGACGGACGTCCGCTCAGCAGGTTGGCTGGACCTACATGGGCTGACATCTAACATAGTGGGACTGCCTTAAAGCCAAGCAGATGCTTTCAGAGCTCCATCTTTAGGGGCTGCCCTGGAACACTGCTTAACCAGCAGCCCGGTTCCACAGCTGCCCTGCACGCACACAACCCCCCACCCCCCTCCTTGCACACCTGCAGCCCAACCAAAAGACTTCAGAGCATGAACTTGGCCGTAACCCCACAGCGAGAGCCCCTGGGAGCACAGTCTGTTCCTCCACACAAGAACTCTGCACTTTACACCTTCCCCACTGCATTAACTTTGGCTCTACAAATAAACCCAGCGGTCTTCCGACTGCTGAAACAAACCGTTACACAACAAGTGTTTTGGTAGTAGGTGTTGACCAGGAACCTGGGCAGGAGCACGGCTGCTCCCTGCCACCTTGCTCTGCCCAGTTCTTCCTGTGGGTTTCCTGCATATTTTCCTCTCCCTCCACAGGACGAAGGCATCCATTCATCGCTGTCTCACTTTCCTTGGGAGAGCACGCACTTACTGGTTTCACAATCCAAGCGATGCCAGGATTCTTGCAAAATTCTTCCACAAACAAATGGCACTCTGAAGGTCTTCGGAATAAAGGCACTTTTTGTTGCCTGAAGCTTTCCTTCTTCTCTTTCTAACTGCTTCCGAAACCTCTTCAGATTCTTCACTAAGCAGTTCTTCTGACTCATCTGGGTAGTAAGAGAAATATAAGGTTCAGTGCAACAAACGCTCCCACAGTCTCACTTTAATTGCCCTGGAGAAGTTTCTGAGGATCAACTGCACCACATGCTCCGAGGAGAAAAGAAAAATAAACACGGATACCATTGAGAGCTGCTTTTTCCTTGAGGAGGAGCAGGCTCGATTTCAATTCTCTGTATCTCTGCATGAACACAGGGAGCTAGAGCAGAGCAGGTCGCACAATCCACATTCTGCCCTTTCTGCTGCAGCCTCCCCGCAGCCAGCACCCTCCGCTGCAGGC